AATATTTTCACGGACCGGCCTTTAAGGTGTCGCGGATAAATACAACAAAATAAAAGTAGTACCGGTACTGAAAAAAAGAAGATTTATTCATAACACACGTGAAAAGAACAAGGAAAACCAAGTTAACGATAAAAACGATAACAAAATAATGCTGAAAACCGATAAAAACCCTGAAAACCATACATTTCACACCTGAGCCTCAACTCTCCTGGCCCGGTACCAAAAGACTCACGGACCGGTACCGGTCCAAGGCCCGGGGGTTGGGGACCACTGCACTAGATCACCTGCTTGAAAAAAAAAGAAGAAGACGAGAATAAGAGAACAACACAGTAGGGAAACCTCTACAACCAAAATAAGCATATGTAACAGTCAATAACAAATACTGAATGTTACTGAGTAGCACACAAGACCGGCAATGCGTGGTATGCTTAGAGGCAGCAGCCAAGGAAGATAGTGTGTGTCTGTGAACACCCGTGTGCACACATGTGTGTGTGACCGTGCTTGAATTCAAAAGGTTTCTCCATATAACAATCTAATTATAGGTGTAGTAGCCATAATAGTAGCCATAGCCCTGCCCCCCTGAACATGAAGCAGGCATGGAGAGAGGTGGAGTCGGACCCGATCTGACATATAGACAAAGACAGGCAGACACACACAGATACATACACGCATTCCCACCCTCATGGACACACATACAAATGCTCAGCACTCGCCCAACACAGAAACAAACAGAAATGAACATGGTACACACACTCCCCGTACATACTCTACACTCCCAGTTCCAGGCACCATCGCCTCTGGGGCCATCCACCCCCAGACCCAAGAGATGTTTCTGGGGTGAAGATGAGCATACCGCCCCCGTTCCTGCAGGAGCAGGGAAGATTCGTATCACAGAAACCAACCAGACGGCCAACTTCTCCCCACCCCAGATGGCAAACAGAGAACGGGGGTGGTCTCACTATTTGTGAAAGCATTTGATGATATAAATTGACCTCCCCTTCCCCTATTATTATTTTTACAACGAAACCACTGGTCACACATCAGTAACATCAACAAAAGGAAAGACCATTTAAAGTAATATTAGACACAAGCTTTCTTTGTGATTAGTCAAGTTACATTTCATCCAAGTTGTGAAAAAAATACATAAAAATACATATACATATATATATATAATCTTACATTCCAAACTGAGGTTGCATTGGGACAACAACAGCCAATCTAACTACCATTTATAGAAATAAAGTTGGACTAAATGCTGCCTGCAATGTTGAAAAAGCTGTGGGCGAGAAGCTGGCTGTCACAGAGGCCAGAGAGCAGTGGACAAGATGTCTGCTGTATATTAATGACAGCATCATTTATTAACATAAAGTGGAGATTATCAGCATAACAAGAGGTTCACATTTAACTTTATCCAACTGTAAAGTGACGTAGAACAGTTCTGCTAACTTTTTGGCTGGAATAAGAACTATGTTTGAGGCCAGTAAAATGACTCTTGGAGTAAACTGATCACCATTAAAAATAATATATGTTTAGGATCACTGTCCTGATATGCTGTCTTAAATAAGTGGACCAAAACAGCAATATTTTATGCCCAAACAGTTTACTACATACATAACTACACCACAAACACAACAAAGTTTCTTACCCAATTACAACCAGGAATCCCATCAGCAGGATGTCTGCAGGAAAAATAGGTCAATGTGTGGGGGAAAAAAGGAAGAGACGCCACACCTTTTCAAGACCTTTTTTTTTCTTTACATCATCTCACTGATTGGATGACTTCATATTAGAATGGGGAAAAGCGAAGCCCAAATGTAAGGGAAGGAGACTGTAACGTCTTTTAATTATTCTTTTAATTATTTGTTTTTTCCCTGCTCCTTGATGTAAATTAGCCCTTATATGTTTAGTATTTAATGTCCTCTTTAAAAACAAAGTGTTTTCTAATTAGATAATGGCTCCTACCGATTGCTGACAACCTTAGTAAAAAAGGGCTGAATTATCTCAAATATGTAGGCACAGATGTGATAGATTAATGCTTGACAAAGGTTTGCATTGCTAGGTAGGTGCCTCTGGAAACAATGACAGTTTAAGGGCCCCTAATTTATCATTATTGATGTAGACAAACACACGCAATTCATAATGTTAAATAATTACAACAAAAATGTAAAAAAGAAAACATACAAATATATAAGATGAATTATTTAAAAACCTGAGAAAAAATTGCAGAAAATACTGAACTTTTTTTATTAGTTATGAGTGACTTTGTAGGGAAGTTGGTTTTTTTCTCCACTTCTGTTTTATTCTCCTACTACACTATAAGGAAATACTGTGTTTTTACATTCGGGTCAAATTATCCCAACTTTGTGCTACTTTTTTGTCACCTATTTGCAAACAACGTATAATTTCAAAACCGAATTTGAAATTAATGGTGCTGCAGAAACATACCATCTGCTCACACGATGCCTTACAAAGACAAAAACAAAAGCTTATTTGGATATGTTACTCTTGGTCATAGACAAACCATGAGTGAAACTTTGAATAACACAGTAGTCCTGACGACACTTGAAGGCTGCATCTGCTGCTCTCATTCCAGCAGCATTATGCAGTTTCCAATGAAACCACTGGCCTCTAATGGAAACAACAGCAAATCAAAAATGACTATTTATAGTCACAAGATGAGCCGCCCATATCAGCTGAAATATTTTTACTCATCCTTTGATAATAAGGTTTGTTAACATTAATTTAACAGTGTAGCGAAAGTGCAGTCCAAGGGATTCTCCAGTGTTCACTAAATGCTTGAAAAGATTTTCCTGTATCTTGTATCGTAGCTTCTCATCTTTCCACTTCATCATCTTTATGTATTTTAATGTCCGCCAGAACTAAAACAGGTTTTTCTGATTACTGACTGCATAAAGGTTTTCTCTATACTTCAATTTTTATATATAGTTCCACATAATTTAAGTACAGTGATGATGCTGTACTTACTGAAAAATTAGGACACAATCATGTTGTCATTGAATACAGCAGCAAACATGGGATCATCCTCAACCACTGAGGCCTTTCATTGGCAATTAGTAGTATGGTGCATACTGTATGATCTTCTTTGAAATAAGCCAAAACCCATTGGAAATGGATCTGTAGTGGTGCTGTCTACCAATTTTACACATAAAGCTCACTGTATCTATTACAAGGCAGACCATAATAGGAATGAAAAGTCACTGTCTATTGCTTTGTTTAAACAATTCTGTTAGAGACATAAATGTTCTGTTGTATTCCTCTTTGTGATTTGTTTTTTTTAACAGCTCATGGCGACAAGGGGAAAAAACCCCACTCTAACCTCTGCCCCTCATATTCTGTGTCGCATGTCACTTTTGAATAGTTTGAATTAATTTTTCTAATAAAAAAATAAGAAGTACAGATAGCTTTTATAACAATAACAGTGGCAACCAATAAAGGCAAAAACACCTGAAAGTGGAAAGTAAATCAAGGTAAAACCAGTCTGATAACAACATAACAAACTGACAACATCCTTTCAGAAAAAAAGAGAAAGAAAATGGTGTAAAAACATTACATTGCACATATTTCAGGAGAAAAGGTTTAAGAAAAGTTAGGCTGTGTTCTTCTTCTATAACAATCGAAAACAATTTCTTTTTAAAAAAACAGCTTGAGCTGAATAAATAGTACACAGTTTGAAAAGGCCAATAGCAAAAACGCAGTGTGTACCTATTAGCAATGTGATCTATCATAAATGTCTCTACATTTAAACCATGGCAATGTGTAGGTCCATCTTCCATATTAAGAAAATACCTCGGTGTGACAAATGTGCAAAAATGGGCTAACCTCGATCCAGACCTTCAAGTCTTGATTGAAAACCCACCGTTTTAGCTTAGCCTTCCTGGCCTCCTAGAGCATGCCTTTTAAGTGTACTTTCTTGCCCTCCCCTTCTCTCTCTTTTGGTTATATTGGTTTATTGTTTTTATCGTTAAGTCTTGCTTGCTTATCTGCGTACTTGTATACTTGTATGCTTGGTTAATCAATGCCTCCCACCTGCTATCTTATCTGCCTTTGTACTTTACTACTGTTTTATTGGATTACGTGAAGCAATTTAGCTACCTCTGGTTTTAAATGTGCTATACAAATAAAGTTGTATTGTATTGTATTGTAATCTGCTACCCCAAACAAATCCATGTCACCCATAGTTAGAGAACAGGTTCTTGTAGAGAACCTGTTCCCAGTAGTTCAGTTCCTTGGAACTGTTGTCTGCCTCCCTATCACTTGCACTTGTACAATCAGCTGTTTTCAGTTGTGCATGGATGTAGACATTACTTTTATTTTTATAGCACAAAAGGACAACAGCATGGTGGTAAAGTAGAAACTGCATCAACGACAGAAACAACTGCATTATGCTGCTAACACAACTTCAGCTCTTTGCAACCTCTCCACAGACAGCATGCTAACGTTAAGCTAGCTAAGAACCCAGAGTGGCCTTAAATCTGAGTGAATGCTGACCCAAGCCCTGCAGCCAGACCCTGAACTTCAACAGGTAACAAAAGCAGTGAGGCTGTAGCCTGTGTTTCTACCTGTGCATGTTTCTACAGCGCAGTCACTGTGACAATGGTTTCAAGTGTCTTTGTGCTGGTTTTCATCTTTGCTTTTTGTTGTTGGTTTTGTGTTCATACCTAAATAGCAAGAGAAAGCTCATGTCTTTGTTCTCATTAGGATATGGATTTGTGTTGGTGTGTGGGACTGTAGCCTAACTCGTGACTAGTGGTGAGCCAGTGGGAATACAACAAGAACTGAATAAATGAGTGATATTGATAATGGAATGTGAATCTCTAAATTGTTATCAACATATATCTGTGTTTGTGTGAGTGTAATTTTAGGCAAACTTATTCCAAAGCTAAGCAGTAACACTGTATACGATACAGCGGACACTTTGATGCATTATTAAAGAAAAGAGAGACAAATAAACAGTAGAGACCAGTGGCAGCAGATTGATTAGAAGCCTGCAGGAAGTTAAGGAAAGAGAGACGGGGACAGAACCAATCCACTGTGTTAAGTGCTAGTTATATATTGAAAATGTCCTAAATTGCAACCAATGTATGCACATACTTATAACGTGCCTAAATGCTAATATATCCCTATTGATCACCATTGTTAAGAGAAGAAGAGACAGCTATTCAGCTATTTCCACTGACAGTGATGTTAGCAGCAGGAAGGAAGTCACTGTCAGATCTGCATTATGCAAATGAGTGTGGTGGCAGGCTCTGTGCTTTGCATGCTGTCCAGTTCTTGGATATGGGAGCAGGCATGAGCGGGTGTGAGGACACTACTCACTTCTCTCCTCTGGGTAATTACTATACAGGAAATTGAACGTAAAATGTTTGAATAATCATGTATCTGAAGTGAGTTATGGATGGAGCCGACAGTACTGAAGTAAATTAAAACAAGTGAATCCAATTACTGTTTATGGAAAGCAGCTGTCCGAGCAGCATATGCTGGTGAGTGAAACTATGAGACTAATGTTGAGGTTAGTGCTCTGCTTGTCTGTATAACATGATGGCTATTTGAGTGTTTCATTTGTGCATGATGACAAGCTAAAAGATGTTTGAAAAACCTGTGTTGCATAGAACTTGCAAAATTACAGGCCGATGTCTGAAGAGGTGAGGCCAGTTGTCTTTTTTTAAAATCTTGCTTAACTCATGCTCCATGAGTGTATTCTGATGTCATAACACCATGATAACTTGCCTCAATGGATTTACAAAAAACAAGGTTAGCGTTTGCTTTCAGTCATGAACAAACCCTCTTATCCGTGTGTTTATTTACCTACACTGCATCAATTCATCTGTGATACAGCCAACAGTCATGTACTGGATAAGCTTTCGTTTCAAAACATTTGGATTTAATTATCATGGGGATATGATATCCAAACAATCTGGTTTCTTCCATTAATAACATGATTGCAGCATGGCAGGGCGAGCTAAGGCTGCAGCATTTTCATATATTTTCATGGATTTAGGCCTTGTTTACTTACTTATTATGGGCATGGGGCAAAACACGATTTAGAGTAATGACACAGTTTACGTTTTGGAGTTTTAAAAGATCTCTGCGAGGAAGTGTCCTGCTTCCACAGCTTGAAAAACAAACATTACCCGTGTGACTTTTCCAGAATAAAAGAATTCTCACTTGCTTCGGTCTTTTGCAGGTCAGTGCAGTTGACATGAGGAAGAGGAAGCTGGCCAAAGCTTTTGTGTGACTGATAGCAAACGCGCTGTACATTAAGGAAACATAGAACCACAGAAGTGTGTTGTTTTACAGATAAAACACCATGGAGTATGAAACGCTATTATATGATTAAGGCCTTGTGCAAAAACTGATGTACTCAACAAACTTAAAAAGTGTTTTTCTCCTCCTCTGAATGACAGTTTTGTCTGGAGCTTTTTGAGCTTTAGGGAAAATGAAAACTTTAATTATTGTTTTAATCAAAACCAACATTTCAGTCTCATATAATAGTCAATTTTCTTACTCTAAGCATTGTTTTTATTTTGTTAACACAGCTCACTCCCAAACTTTGAGAGAACTGCTCATGGTCATTCATGCTAAATAGGAGACATGTTTTGTTCTGAGCAGCAGCTTAAGAAACAGTACTCACTGAATAATGCCCACAGCCTGGGTTTCATTTAGGCAACAAGTAAAACACTAATGGTGTTTGATGTCAACAAATGCAGATATCCCTAATATGATCATCTCAAGCACATAACTCTGCTCATGAGGGGCAGCCAATCAGAAGAAATCTAGATTAAAATGATTGGGAATTAAATTAAATTCAGTTTTATTTATACCGCACCAAATAACAACAACACTTGCCTCAAGGCACTTTATATTGTAAGGTAAAGACTCTACTATAATACAGTGAGGGAGCTAAAGGAAGTTAAAACCTGGTTCAAACAAGAGGAAACCCCCCGAACTTAAAAATTAAGCCAAGTTGCAAAATCTGGAGTCCCTCCAACAGCCAACAAATGTTACAAAACATTTTACAGCCTAGTGCAAAAATGGTTTTGGCCTCTTTTGATAGTTTCCCCCTGTGAACTTTGGGGAATTTTTAAAAACTCATCCATTAGGATAACTGAGTTAACTGTTGATTGACAGATGTCCTGATGATTCTGTAGCATTTACTTGGCCTCATTCCCTACTTTGAATAGTTGGAATGATTCACTTAATTGTGTGTCTGCTTTGGGTGTTTTTTGTATTGGATTGTCTGACTGCTTTGTTGTGGTACATACCTACAACTTTGTAGTAATTGCAGCATCTATGAAAATAGCAATAGACCATGCGTTGCCATGGAATAAGAGCATTTTGCCACAACTTCCATTTCAAATGTAAAAATATGTCTCTTAGGGAGTTGCAAGAAATCACCACAATCTGGTTGATTTGAGAACATCTGCCTAATGTTAAACTGAGACTTACTTATGAAAAACACACAAGCGCTCTTATTTCTTTCAAACAAAAAACCTTTCTAGAGAGATCTAGGGTTTTATTCCAACTTGTATGTCGTCATTATGATTTAAGAAATTTGCGAGTATCAAAGTTTGCTTCTACTTAAACAGGAGATGTGCCTATAAAGACAGGTTGGTGTTGTCTTGCCTTTGATTGCAATAAGAACCTTCATGACTGACTCCTGAAAGGAGTTTGTCCTTCTGATTAAGTGCCTTTGAATTCCTTTTACCTGAAGTAATAATATTGTTGTGCTTCATGTTTCTCTCCTCAAATACAAGGGAGTGGGAGACACTTCTATCATCTTCATTAGCAGTTTTTATAGCATTGAAACTTGCTGTGTTAGTTTCTTCTTACGTTTCTCTTGTGAAAAAACATAAAACACAAAAACATGAAGCAATCATGGTGTTGAATTTCGTGGGAGATCCTCCAAGTGGCAGGAGACAAATCATTTAAATGGACTTGGGGATATGTTCAGTTGTTAAGGCTTCAGAAGAATGCTGTGCTCGTGTTTCAAAGAGCTCATATAATCACTATCTTTGTGGCCTGTTGGTCACCTTAACCTGCTAAGTAATTATTTATTTACTTGCTCATATATCGCTGTTAATTATTCTAATAGGTCTCTTTAGAGCTTTTTTTGCCACAAGCCCTACAGCGTTTCCTGTAATGTCCCTCTGATACTGATCTCCTTGGTTTCCCTCAAGAAACACTCATATTCACTTAACACTCACGTGCAATGACGTTTCCTTTCTTCTTCTCCTAAGGCCTGTGCAATAGGTCATGCAATATACTGAAGTATAGATAAGCATAACCTAACCAGCTTGGCATGCAAACAACATGGTAATGTTATATGACTAATTGGTGCAGTTAGTCAGACTGCCTTATTGTAATGTCTAGGCCAGGATGCTATACAGATAGGTAAAAAATTTAAATTGAGGGAATTGGTTCTGTTTTAGTGTGTTGGATATTTTATTGGAATAGTTTGGTTGCTGCAAATCAATACAAAGATGGTCTGAGAGATTCTCTCTATCCCATGATTAAACATTTTTATCCTTACACAGCTCCATAAGGCAGATGTTGTATAAAAAATATGTAAACCATATCCTGTGGGATTCACATTCACTAGATTTCAACACAGAAAAAACGTCTTTGGGAGGTTTTGAACTAGCATGTTGCATCAGCATCTACTGCCATCATTAACACATACAATTTGGGGATTTAGGGGACATTTGTAAATTTTACCTACAAAAAATAAAATGTTCAACTCTTTCTGAATCAACACTGTTCGGGTAATTCTTTATACCTCTAGGAATAAGAACAATCTGTATTGTATTTGCCCACATTTAGGTAATCCATCTCTGGCGAAACAATCTGACCATCATTAACAAAAGCATCTAAATCTTTGAAACTCATCAGTTGTATCCACTATAATAAATCTTACCAACAAATAGGTGAAAAAGGATGGGCTTACATACCAGACTCAATGCTTTTTTCATGACACCATAGGTTAAACCAGTGCTTTTCAGGTTTTCAGGCCTGCAGACCTTGATAAAAAACAAAGTTTAAACTATTGTGCCACCAAGCAACCCGCTACTGCACATTTTGAAGTAAATTATTATAAGAGGAGCTGATAAAAAAAATTCTATTCAGGATGATTTTCAGTTTACATCCATAATAACATGAGCAAACTGTTGTGCCCATTCATTTTCATTTTACCGAATATTTTTCCACTGTGATATTTACCAGGGATGCTAAAATTACCCTGCCTATATTAACTAATTAGAACAAAGGTTTCAGCATACAGTAATATCTTTAGGTTTGCAAGCATTTCTGGAGCAGCTGAACCAACATGATCCCTAAAGCCTGACCACTAATATGGAATAAATTAAACAGAGCATGTTTTTTCCACGTTAGCAGTGAAATAATGCTTCTGACAGTCAAACACAAATTTTGTGCTTCATGCACCACAGATTCATTGAGTATGAACAACATTTAGTTAGTGAAACTGTGGTTAAGTCGGGCTTTGAGTTTCACGCCCTCTATTTCACCTCCCTTGACAGTTAACACAGCTGAATGCCACACATACTAGCCGCACGTTACCGGTTTGCACATGTATTAGTACTTCTCATCACATGTGTCCAATTAGACTTCCAGTAAACTGACTTGGCGCACACATCCTACATTATTTGGGTTGCTGAAATGCTGCCTATGGGTTTCCTATGATGTCTAATTACATTGTAAGACACGAGTAATTGCAATAATAAGTAATGTGTTTAGATTATGCAGAAGTCAGTCCAGATGTAAAACATCTGTTTTGATCCTGCAGTTGCACTTTTTTTTCTTACTTTACATGCTATAATACAAGCTTCTGTCAAGTTCGTTCAGATCTCTTATGTAAATTCTGGGCTGTATGAGTGTATGCATGTGCTAAGAGCCACATCGCTCATCTACCTTCCATACATATTGTAAATTCAAAGTGAAATCAATTGCATTGTGTATGTAAAGCAGTGAGTGCTTTTGGCACGTTGGCAGAAAGGAGTCACACAGTAGCATTATTGTACTAATAGCATTGAGGCTGTTAAGAGAGATGAAGCCTTTAGATTTCTTTCTGAGTTAGCATACTGTCATCAAATTTTTTTCCTTTACATGCCTCACAGATAGAGGATATATTCAACAGAATGCCCAGTTGAATAAAACATCAGGGGGAAATGGGATGATTCTCATGATCAACAGTGGGACGACTAATAAGAGGTGCATAAGAGGTGTACGTTCTAGCATTACATTTAGGAATTCAACAGCAGGAAAGATAAAGAGAGAGAGGCTATTAAACTAGAGATAATCTGGTAGCATCTGTTTCTTCAGCTAATTGACTTGGTTTTGCAATTAAAAGTCTTTATATTAAAACTTTTCTGAAGATGAGCTGCGGTCTTCTACTGCCTAATACTGGCATCAACCTCTAATAAAGTCCCATGAAAAAAATGGAATTGGAATGAAGGATCAAAAGCCTCTGAGAAAAAGATACAGACAAATCTGGCTGGTTAAGCAACACCTTTGCGAACTTTAATGAGTTTATTCTGCTGCTGTGCACAAAATGGTTTTAAGATGTCATCATGAATTCCTGGAGCGGAATCTGTCTAATACTTTGGTGGGTTTGTGACATGGCTTAAAGGGATTGAATTCATGAGATGTGATCCGTGAGGCTTTCTACTTCTTTAACCTTCCATTGAGAGCTCAATGTTCCTCGGCCTTCACATTCATACCTGTGGAAGGTATTTGCTCTTGCGTTTGCTTTAACTTCAAAGGCTTAGCCGTGGAATAATGTTCCTGTAAATATGTGCAGTAGATGACAGAATCCTGTTCAGTTTAGGAAGCAAATTGGTGGAGCCTGCAGAGTTTATATAAAAAGATCAATACAGTCAGCCCAATTTACCCTCCAATCACATTAACAAAGAACAGATGGTATTTGTCTAAAGACTTCACATGTTTGTGAATAAATCTTAACTTGTTTTTGCTATCAAGATCCAACCACTGATCATCACGAGTCGCAGCATATAAACCTGACAGTCTGAAACGCAGCCCGTACAGCTGGTGAGCTGGGATGTGAAAATGGTTTTCATAACCTCATGCTGATACTATTCCAGTTATGTGGAATATTTCAATTATAATTACAATTTTTTTGTTTTTTTTATCATTCCAAAGTTATGACAATAAATGTCTTCATTATCAGAAAGCATAGTTGAGACTGTTTATGTATTCTGTAATTAGTTCTCCACACAACAGTTTTTATTTCTACTGGAGAACTTCGCCTTGGACACATGCAACTATTCTGCTTGTAATTTAATCTCACTGAGTAAAATGCTTTGCACTACCGACTGCTTTCCTACATCTAATTTTTAGAAAAGAAAAAGCTGCGTCTTCACAATAAGGCAGTCTTGTCATAGACTCCTTTTTGTATTAATAGTTGGATTCCTGTGTTTGTGGTGTTTTGAGTTTTTTGGTTGTTTTTTGTTTTGTTTTGTTTTTTTAGCTTTGTGTAACAGATATTTCCAGTTGGTTTCTGTATGATTAGTTTCTCAATTTAGCCTTTAGGTTTCTTAGTTTTGGTTTATCTACCTTTTGCAATCCAGTGAGCCAATTGAGTCTGTGGTTCCTGAGCTGCCTGATCCAGTCCTACTTTATTGCCCTCCTATTCCAGAGGGACTCCATCTCACCCACTAGCACTCAACCCTTTTTCCTTCCTGCCAGCCAAGCCTCCAGAAAGTCTCCTCCTCCACTGTCACCAGCCTCCTCCCCTGCCTTTTTGTCCATCTGCCAAGGCTCTGTAGCAGTTCTATCTCCTTTGCTGTCAACAGGCACCTGCCAAGCATCTTGGGTCCTGTTTCCTTTGCCGTCACCATCCACCTTCACCAGCAGTATCTAGCCAGGCTTCTAGAGTGGTCCGTTGTTACTGGCAGAAACAATTTGTGCGTGGTTGCAGTGACCAGCTGGTCAGTCAGAAGTTGAGTATGCAAGACCGTTAACTGCTGGCCACTTTCACAAGCCCGTCACACAGGTTACCTGGTGGGAGGTAGCCTTTCTCCAAAAACGCATAGACAGATTGGCGAAGTGTTGCTGCTTATTTATAAATGTATAGAGATTCCCAAACAGATCCAAAGGTAATCAGTCTGGATTGATTGGTGCTAATGAGCACAACTCATCTGTGACGCTTAGCAGTAGGTAACCTGATTCGGTTGGTTGCCTGATTATGTTTCTATAAAACAGCAAGTTTGCCAAGTGCCTAAATAATTATGCCGTTCTACAGTTAGGCTCTACTAAGTGAATTATGTTCCATTTAATGTGCTTTAACAAAATTTCTGCTGGATTTTTTTTTTTCTCCTGTGTCGAAATTCTATATTCCTATTTTTTTTTTTGTTTCAATAGCCTTAATGCTATTTAAGAAACTTAAGACTCTGGGTGAAGTAAAATCATGTCTCGCCATTACTTTTGCTTGGCCTTCTAAACCATCCTTTGATGGAAACCACAGAGACTCAGGTTGAACTTCTGACTATTTTTTGTTTAACAGTTGGTTTAAGTCAAACATTTCTGTAGCAATCGCACCTGAGAGGGAAAACCTAAATGTTATTGCACACTTGTATTAATATCTATGCAAAAATAGTTTTACAGTCATCTGAAAATTTTCTGTTCTTCTTTTGATTGTATTTTTGCAGTATCCAGAAATGTGTTTCGTTAGACAGTGGACAATGAATCATTTTACAACTCATTGCAAATCATTGACTTTCATGGAGACCATCTCAGCAAACAACAAAACTCAGTTGCTTTCCTCAAAGTTGACTATGCTGAGAATGATTTTAGTGACTTCGTGCTGGACGGTTGTTGAATAAAGACAGGTTGCCTCCCACCAGAAATACTACAAATACTTATACAGTTGTGTGATGGGCATGTATTAATCATCATTTGATTCTATGATGTGTCTAAAATCTGGTTTCCAAATCAACCAGGATGTAAAAATAACATGACCCATAGATTTAAATTGCTTTCTAAAAAAAGAAGAGAAAAAATACACACAGCGTCGCTGTTCAGCTGTCAAATGTTTAGTGCCTTAAATCTAACAATATTTCCTTCAAATGTGTCTGTTATCGCTTGCAGCAACTTTGAATTAAACAGACAGTAATGCTGCCTTAATAGTTTCTAAAAGCATATTTGGCATAATGATTAAACAGCAACGACTTTGCTTTTTTCTTAACATAAGAGGAGATCAATGTGATGATATAGGCTTTCTACTCTAATGCACTTCTACTTGTACTTGTGTTTAAAATTTGCCATCATTGGAATGCACCTAACCATCTGGCCATAGTTAAATGGCCTGTAATGATGACTATCAGGTATGCTGAAGATACATATGCACTGTTTACAATAGGATACAGTGTTTATAGAACGGGGTTTAATTAGATAGCAAGTTCACCTGAGAGCAATGCCTGATCTCACTAACCAGATTTAGATTTTCTCGGAGAAGACATCGATAAGCTGTTATTTTCTGTTCCTTTTTGTTATTTTGTTTCTGACTTGGCAGAGCAGTGCTTACTGCACCTGATTAAACCGTGGGTGTTGTAATGCAACCTTTCCTGAGGAATGTACTGATCTCACACATCAAGCAGATGTTCTCAATCAATATTTGTTGATATGAAAGCCCATTAGTGTGTTAATTACATTTGCATAAACATTTCGCCATTTCATATTTACTATACGAAATTGGTTTTCATACAGAGTTTACATACAGTGGCCCTCAAGTGCTTACACATGTTTGGTCCAAATTCTGTTTGGCCGTAGTAAAAACATGAACACACGGTGCATGTACAGTCAATCACATACTGCATTTGTAGCCACACACAGAGACATAAATGCAAACAAAATATCAGCACCACCCACCCTTAACAGCTTGCATTCCCCACCAATGACTTACCCAGAGTAAACAAACATTTATCTGCTTGTCTGGCAAACCAACAGTGTGGTGGTGCTGTTTGTTTGGCAGACATGCTGCAATAATGTAAGCAAGCTATTGAACTGTGTTTAATGAGAGATATGATTTGGACATGTTAAAAGAAGTTATTTTTTTCCTCCTTGTAGGACTGCATAGATACAAGTTGGAGCGTCTTAATTGCTGTGGTGGCCAATTAGAACCAAGTCAATAACTGCAGAACCAGGTAGTAAAAGTTCACCAATATGGCACCCTGACAATATCGGACTTAAAACCCAATGTTTGTGAACAGTTTTGTACCTCAATACACTTAACAAAGGTGTCTGTGCAGCAATTACATATGATCTTCTCTGAGCCCTAAAACAACAATGTATGCAAGAATAATATTTTTAGGCAGTTAGATCAAAAAACACTGCTATGACAGAATATAAAGACAACCGTGCATCAATTTTAAAGATTTTATTATTATTTTTTTTTCATTTCTCTGTTACACGAGGAGACCAGGATGAGCAAATGCTGCATGTTCTCACTCGTGAAATAATTAAAGGAAATTAGGAAGGAAAGTATGAGCACGCTCCAGGTTTCCAAAGCCTGCAATTTTATATGAAACATTTACAAAGTTTTGATGACTGAATGCCACTGTGATGATTGAGGGCTACAAAAAAGAATAAATGCTTCATATAAATTTTTTTTACTGTTTTTATTTTACTTGATCAATTATAATGTGGTTATTCTGTTGGTAATTTACATATTTCTGTTGTGTTTTTTAGGCATTATTAAGATGGCTGTTAAATTTCCAACTGCATTTGTTAATGACTGCAATGTTTAGTCTGCTGTGATGGCTTGAGCAGAAGTGTTGAAATTTAAGGTGTCCAGTTCTGTACTGCTGTATAATACATGACATGAACCATTGATGAATGAAAAGTATAGAAGTGCATACATTCCCTGACATTCTCAAGAGCTATATAAAATGTTACCAAAGCCTGCCACTGGTGCAAAGGAAGGGCCCAGGGATGTTAATCGCTGTCCTTCCCACTCCTACACCGAGCACAAAAATTTACAGTCACCATAACACCCATATGTCCTCATGCTTGTTTAGGGAGACTTGAGGTCTGTCCACAATAAAAATCATTATAACTGAGTGAATTTCCCACCAATTTTCAAGTGAGTTGGTTTGGTAAAAAAAAGAATATTGTACTTATCAATATACATCTCCTAGTGTGCATTTAATTCTTGTAACCTTAGTATTAATCAATCAATTGAAATACACAGGATCAGGCTCCAGTTTGTGGAAGCCGTCATGTTGCCCTGTCACCTTGAATACAGTGGCCGAGATGAACATCGTTGTTCCACCTAATCACCTTTTATGCACGCTATATTGCCAAAAGGTTTCATTCTACAGTCAACTACTTGTCGTATTAGTCTAAGACCTCCAAACTTCAGGTGGCTTTCAGATTAACTCAAGAACAGTGGCTGGCTGGGTTTCCATGGCTGACTAGTTAGACTTTAGAGCAGTGAAGACGTGTTCTCTGGAGTGACGACACATGCTTCTTCGTCTGGTGATCCACTGGGGGAGTCTGAGTTTAGTAGTTACCAAGAGAACGGTACTTGTCTGACTGTACTGTGCCAAATGCAAAGTTTGGTAGAGGTGGGCATATGATGTGGGGTTGTTTTTCAGGAGTTGTGGTTGGTCCCTTAGTTTCAGTGAAAGGAACTCTTAATGCTTTAGCATGCCAAGACATTTTGGACAATTTCATGGTCCCAACTTTGTCAGAACAGTTTGGGGATGGCGCCATCCTGTTATAACATGAATGCACACTAGTGTACAAGCAAGATACATATAGGCACACATGAGTGAGTTTGGTATGGAAGAGCTTGACTGGTCTGCACAGAGTCCTAAACCATAAATACACTCCTAAAAAATGAGGAAAGTATTCCTAGAAGAGTTGAAGATGTTATGGCTGTTATAGCTGTATCTATGAATTAAGTGTGTGAAGATGATCAAATACTTTGGGCAATAGAGTATATGTGGCTAGAGACCAGCCACGTGTCATACATCTTTTAATTTACTGTGTTTTTAATTTAAAGATCACAAACAGTGCTTTCTCTCTCTCTCTCTCTCTCTCTCTCTCTCTCTCTCTCTCTCTCTATATATATATATATATATATATATATGACCATTTACATTTCTACACATATACCATCAGTTTCTCCTCGCAGACACTGCTCTCTCTTCTCCCTCATATCCACATCATCCACTTCCTACTCAGTTTAAGTTTTATCTCCTGAACTGAGTGCACTTACAAACAAAACATGCATAAACATGCTTATTTATTCCAGATATTGTTGCAGTTAAGTATTGTTGGATTAGATATGCCACCATCTCTGGACAGCTGGCGCTACACAGTAAAATAGCTGGCTATAAGTTAACATAATGCCAGCTGATGTTAGGCTTGAGTTTCCTAAAAAAAAACAAAAAAAAACCCTAAACATTTTCTCTTTGATAAAGAGTTCGATTACATTCTCACATGTATGAGTTTATTCACTAACTGTCTGACATTGTTGCATTCAGACAGATCCACTTCAGCAACGGTTTTACTAACGCCACCAAACAAAACAATACTACAATGCTGCAAAACAGAAAAGTTTAGGATATCCTCAAAAACTCACCTTAGTATCACCGTCATCAGACAGAAGTGAGGTTGTGAGAGTTGTTTGTCCGACAGCAACCGATATAGCTAAGATTACGCACTTCAAATGAGAGGTAAAAAAACAGAATTCTGTTCACTGCAATATACTGACATCTAGTGGTAATCGTTTACACACTGTAAAGGTATGACTAACTGTTTGAATATTAACTTGTGTACAGTGTTGGGAATAACGGCGTTACTTTTTTCAGTAACAAGTAATCTAACTAATTACTATTTCTATCGTTACAACACTGTTACCATTACTAATAAGAAAATGCGGTGTGGTTGCGTTACTATTTTTCAACAAACAGACGGTTGAAGCTGTCTTCAGCTTACCGCATCTTGTATCAGCTGTAAGTAATCTGGGCGCTACAGCTTTAAGCAGCTGCGCGCTCCCGTAGGCAGCAATCACTTCCTGGCAAACGATCACGTTTTGGCACAACACCTGGAGCTAAGGGGGCAAAACAATCGCATGAATGCTGCTGTTTGACTGAGGAAGAATAAAGTAGTCGTGGCAAGCCAATCACACGACCACTTTAAGATGACAAAGCAACAAGGTGAAATATACCAGTTTTTAAATTGTGCTGATAGGCCACGTGAAACCAGAGCCGTTTTTTTCCTGAATAGTTTCGTCACAATAGTTTTGAGAGAAAGACAGCAGAAAAAGAGAGAGAGATGTGAGAGATTTGTGACATTTAGTGTGTTTGGAGTGTGTAGTAAATTTGTTGTCTTGTGTAGTTACTCTGTAGTGTTGTGGATAGTTTTGTGTTGTGTGTCAGAACAATGAGGCGACTGCTGTCTCCAGGTAGAAACAGGAGGAGTCATACACCTGCTGCTGTCAGACCTGCAGGTATCAGGCTGTGATGTTCTCCTTTATAGTGGACAGAAATATTTGGAGTGGCACAAATAATTTATGTTGCATCTCATTAAATGCAGAACAGCTGATTGTTATGTAAATAGTTTGAAATGGTTATAAATAAAAGGGGTAAAAGTTAAATGGCTGCAAATAACTTTCTTGTTTGCAGAACTTGTGCATATGATTTTAAAATTGACAATTTATATTTGCATTTAAAGTTATGAAATATGATTCAATAAACATGTTTTTGGTTGTTACAGTAAAAAAGATAACTTTTTCTACTCAGATTTTATGTTTTTTGTCTGATTTTAGATCGATACTGTTAATATAGTATGTCAAAATGAAAAGATAACTGTAAATTCAGACACGTGAGGTTGTGCTGAAAAGTATGATACCAAACAAGGCAAAGTAAGTAGTTTTTAAAGGTGAAATGTAGAGGAAACATCAAAAGTAGTCAAAAATGGCCAATTCTACCCCAGAGGGTTAGACATTTTTAGAACACATCATAGAAGTAACGCAATCGTTACTTTTCAAGTAATTAATTACTTTTAGAATCTTGTAACACAGTTATTAACTCAGTTACTTTTTTGAAGAAGTAACTAGTAACTATAATTAATTACTTTTTCAAAGTTACTTGTACAACACTGCTTGTGTATATCACTTTTTATTGTCTGTCACTTTTAATATTATTTAAATTTATTACTTTTAAACAAATAAGTCAGTAGCCATCTAATCAGAGATCGTAATGTAAAGTGTATCTTTATGACAGTTATTTTCTCTTTAACAGATCTTTTTGTGAGCGTATTGTCAAAATTCGCACAACTCAACAGTACAGTTGCCATCAGGTGTATCTGATCTCACCAGCTGATATTTTAGTTAACCGAGGAAATACTAAAAGCACAATTAAACAAAGGTGTTTGTTTTGCTGCAGACTTGGACATGAGAGTGTTCTATTAAAGTGTTTTAAAATATTAAATAACTAGTATGGCTTTGATGCCGACATGAACGCCATGACAGGTAGGGAAGTTACAGTAATATTTATATTCTAAGCAGGATATTACATTGTAAGCATGCTAATGTTTGCTAGTTAACATGAAAAAGTATAACTGGTCCTGATGGTGATCGCATCGGTTTGGCTGTTTGGTCACAAATCCAGATAAATGTAACTGTTGACCTAATAGAGTTAGATGAAGATTCATTGGCTCAAGTGTCCGTGCTGAGGTATTTTAGTCCTACTGAAAATACAAAAATGTAGGAGAATTTATTTATGAAGCTCAAACAGCAAGTTTGTGTCAGAGAGCTTTCCAGTCTTTAACGCATACCACACCCTCTATTTTTAGACCTTGGATTTGAAAAATGGAAAACTTAAATAAACAGTTTCCAAACTGAGACCCATAGGATTCAAGTCTTAGCCACATGTTTTAGCAGGAAGAGTCCAGGTGCATCTTATAACATGAAGTAATGACTGCTGAATTTCATGCAGGTGAGTTGGCTACAGGACCGTGAGTCTGTGCATGCCGTTCCTTTGACATATCTTTGTGGGACACGCACATGGAAGAGAGCCATTGTTAGTGATATTAGTTACACCTGTGCTTTGCCTGCTATGACAATGTCTGCTACGTATTTTGCAGTCTTTCTAAAGTACTATTACACGCAGTGTGTGCTACTCTATTTGACAGA